TATATATATATAATGGATATAAGTAATAGTTAATTATCTTAAAATCCTTACTCAGTTTTTTTATTATATAACTATAATATAACACTTTTAAAGTATTTGAGGAATTAAAATATGTAGCTCTATTTTACGATTTAATGAATAATCGCTTAGATATGCTTAATCCATATCTCATTAAGGGTAACTTTCAAATGAATAAAACGAGCTTAGAACTTTTGCCATTACTCAAGAACTCTAAGAATATAGATATTGTGTATTTTCTTAAATGGTAAACGCCCAAAAATTCTACGTAAAATGCATTATTTCCATTTGCTAATTAGTTAGTTGGCTTTTTACTTTAGTTGAGTTTCTTTGTTTGAATAAAATGTATTATATTTGACTTAAGGCTCAGAAAGATTAGCGTTGCATAATTTTAACTTTAAATTAATAAGGTTCATAAATTAAAAGTGCGGAATATATTGAGAATTTTTTCAGATCGAGCTTTTTTTTTAATTTTATTTATTCTGAAGCAAATATTATATTAATTAATGAGCTACAGCAGATGGTTGAATTAAATGAAAGTCATATCTGTAAAAAAACCACAAAAACTTCGGTTATTTGCATTTAGGTTGAATGTAAAAATACTAGAGCTTTAGAATTCCTAAATAATAGATTGCTTGGGTTTTCTGTGTACCCTAATAGCATGAAATTTGAACATCATATATTTGAAATTGTGCTCTTAAGTGCAAGAGTTTAAATGAAAAATGTAAATGATTATTTAAAATATTTAAATTATTTAAAAGAAAAACTTAAATTAATTTAATGAAGTATGATTACTTAGTGAATTTATGAATTTAATTATGAATTTAATGAAGTATGATTACTTAATGAAGTATTTAAATGCTAAATTGCAGCTTGGCTGTCTGCAGAGTGACGAAACAATTTATAGAGGCTCTGTACCTTGTGTTTCCAAATTACCTAATATTGAAAACATTTGTAAACTTCCGACCACCCATGGTTGGCATTCCTGCTGTTGTTAATAATAAACTTAATTATGCATTTTTATCAAAATTATTAACAGCACAAATTTCAGATTTATTCATTGCTGTTTAAATAATTAAACAATTTTTCTTTTTTTTTAGAAACGGAACTGGAAGCAAAGTTCATGATCTTGACTTGCTTGATGAAATTTTAAAACATTATGATAGAAGAGCCTTACCTACTGGATCCCAAAGTAAGACAACATCTTTTACTACATATTGTAAAATTTTGCTTTGTAAATCTTTAAAACCACTTACAGTTTCATCTTGAGGGGAAATTCGGAGTTCACGTCCTTACATCAAAAATGATACTATATACGCGGAAAAAGTCAATTACGTAGTTGTTCTGCATTATCGATTTATGAGAAAAAATGACGTGTTCTCAAAAATGATAGGTATGAAAAGCACTAAATGAACATCTGATTGCTTGATTTATTGCATAAAATCAGCACCAATCAGACCGTTTCTTAGAATCCCCTGCCATTAGTGCTTGTACAAGTATAGACCGGTAAGGATGAATACCTAGCGCCCTGAATTCTGAACATCCTATCTGCGGCATTTTGAGAGCCCACAGGGTTTGCTGATCTTTCTTGGCGAGTGCATTCGCTTGTATACTCTTAGAAATTTCTCGGCTAAAATGGCTAAATAACAATCTATTTAATTGTTATTTTACCATATTTAAACAAAACAATCAAATAACCATAAATAAGATGGTAATGAAACGATTAACAGCGAGAAAAATCATTTATTAACTATTTTTACCTAAAACGGTTAAATAACAATAATTTTACTGCACCAACTAAGCCCACCTAATGAAGCAACTTAGTTTGTTGCAACCACGTACATATTATAGCCGAGAGAGCTAATCTGTCAATCTCACGACCGACAGAACGGAGGTTCGAGCCCCAGCGTTGACACCTCCAATCCCTTTAATACACATTAAGAATTTTCAGTGTCCTGGACTATCTTCTGTCCAATATTAAATGAGAAATCTAGCTCCAATGTCCAGTTAAATTTCATTTTTTACGGTTTTGACACCACGGTAGTTGTAAATGGTTAAGAAACTGCATAGTTTTGTATTCATGATTTTATAATTATACTAGATGCCAACGGTTATGCCTGCTGGTTATTTTACCATGATTTTAGAATGAAAATTCTAGCAGTGTACGTCTTCTGGTTGTTCCTACTCTTCTTGTTCAGTTGGTTACCCTGATTCATTACACTGTCTTTAACGATTCGCAATGAAGGATGTAACCTTCCGAGAAAACATTTACAATACAGTCACTGTGCCGCTCTTTCCAAGCGTCTGCATTCACTGTAAATTAACACCATCTCGACATTATAGGAAATCTTTCTTTAATACTTTTTTCTTGCACAGAGATATGACGTGTCATATTTGTTTCTGTAATACTGAAATTTATACGATTCGCAATGAGCGTTTTGGCCAAGCCTGTACTTGAACTGGGGTCCCTCCGTATTGTAATAACGCACGCTACCACTGTGCCATGATAAGGAATGCTCTGGTTTGTGAACTTTTTTCTTTTTTTTCATGTTATGTCAGGTTGCATTTTTTGAAATTACAAACCAAATAAATGTGCTTCTTATATCTTCTGTTTTTAAGATTACTGTAAGGGAAATGTCTTCTCTTACTAAATAACAACAGCTTTGCTGTAACAACAGTGGAGAATTTTGATGTTGAACAACTTTGTAATTGACTCTTTTTTCGATCTCAAAATAAGAACACTAGTTCCGTTAACGTGCGATTCTAAGCCGATAAACTCTAAATTTTTGTATAAAGTACAAGTAAAGTACAATTTACACAAAGTAGTTTTATGTAAATTGTACACTCTATCAAACAAAAAGTATTTAAAAGAAAGATTTGTTTGCTATTAGAGTGAAGCAGGTTATCATATAAAATGGAGTAAAAACAATAATTATGAATTAATTTAGATATAGTTCAGTAGTGATGTGGAATTTTTTTAATACTAAATAATTAGTAACTCTAATATTCATATTAATTTTTTTAGTCAACAGTTTAAACGCATGGTGCATTTATAAATTAGATAAAGTTAAGAAAAGATTTTGTTGTTTATTTATTCTAATTAATTATTAATTAATTACTCTAACATTCATATTGTTTTCTTAGGCGAACCAACAGTTGTATCATGCGGTATATTTATAAGAAGTTTTGGATCAATAAATCCATCCACAATGGTAAGAACAGCTTTTGATAGTATAAAGATAAAACTTCGTAATGCAATTAAGATAGTTCTTTTTGCTGTTAAAAACTAATTCTCTTCTCTTCAATTTTCTTCCTAAATCACATTTTCTTTCAAGATAAAGGCTCGTAAGTCTGAAAGCCGTTGTTACGATGCAGTTTGTTTAAGTGTTTCATAAGCATTAAGCGATACATTTTAGCAAAAATAATTAGAATTATTTCTCACAAAAAGAGTAATTGAGATAATGCGTAATGTTTACAGCTAGAAATTTATTATTATAAATATGGTTAGTTTTAATATTTTTCAGATGGTAATACTAGAAAATAGATAAAAAATGGAAGGGTTAAAATGAAATTTTGTAAACAGATTTAAAGATAGAATCTGCAAGATTTTTTGAAAGATGTGATAATTGGCAAACACAACTTTAGTTTAATTTTGAGTAATTATGTGATTCCAGAAACCAATTAGCTGCTTATCATAAAATAGTTCCATTTGGATGCCTTCATAATTATTATCTATTTAATAAAATAATAAAATTTCTAAGTTTTAATGATTTTTCGCATGTAGGAAACAAAAAATAAAACTGTAAAATACAGTAAAAACTTTATAAAAAAATTAAAATTGCTGCTAAATATTTAATTAGGGATTCTTAAAACACTATCAAATGTAATCTTTTTCAGGACTATGAAGTCGATTTATACCTGAGGCAAACATGGTACGATCATCGTCTGAAACAACCTCATCTTGTTAAGCCGCTTGATTTAAATGATCCAAAATTAGTGCAGCGTATCTGGAAACCGGAAGTTTTCTTTGCAAATGCCAAGCATGCTGAATTTCAATATGTTACAGTGCCAAATGTTCTTGTTAGAATTATGCCAAGTGGTGAAATTTTATATATGTTAAGGTAAGTAATACATCATGGTTCGCCTAATATTTTTCAGTATTTGTACAGTGCGCACAAAAAAATAAATAATAACCTTGAATAATTTTTGATCTAATGATTGTACTTTCACGTGTTATAACTTAAACATAATGGTTCATAGGTATATATATATCTATATATCTATCTATCTATATATTATATCGCCTTATTTCGTGACTTAAAATATCTTCAGCACAAATTAGTAGTTATACTTCAGATCACCCTCGTGAACCATTGTGCTTGAACCCTATCAAAAATCCGATCAGTTCAATTAAATCAAGGGTTGTTTTTTTTTTGCACACTGAACATACTGCTATTTTTTAATAGTTTTAACATGTTTTAATTTGCTTCATTCATTATTCGATTGTTATTTTATTGCTTATCAACATATAACTTGCAATAGAGACTGCTTTTACTCACTATTAGCTATTGGTTGTTTTAAGCGATGATAGACTTGAAGATGTTAAGCGGAGTAACATTTAAGGGAATAAAGGAACAGGCGAATATAGAAAACACAAAAACAGAACCAAGCTGTTTACAAAACTCTTTTTTTTCTTCCTGAAAAACTGCTTTATAATAATTTGGCAGAAAAAGATTTATATACATACAAAGGGCAATGGCATGTTTCCAAAATCCAAGTAAGAAATATATGGACTCAATGCATTTTCAAAAAAGTAAAATTTTCGAAAAAGTAAAGAGAAATTCTAACAAAAAAATTTAATTATTTTTTTTTTGCATTTCTTTTGCCCCAGTGGCGAAAATGATCCAGTATTGAACATATTCTAGTAAGTACGGATCTAAACTAAGAGATGACAGTACAAATTCAGATTGCTTAGAACTTCTCTCAATGATTTTGAAAAGTACAGACAGAAAAGTTTAAGTAAATTAGGTGCCAAAATTCTGAAGTTAAAATATACCGTATAAAAATATTTGTAAATTTACGGGAAAAAAACTGTCAGAAGGTGTGCCAGTATTAAACCACTTATATCACAAAAAAATACTGTCTTTTAAATGTGGAAAATTGTTTTTTAAGTAGATAAGTACTCTTATTTTCACAATAAACTTTGCTAGAACTTTGTTATTTTTACAAACAAACTCTGATATTTTAGCAAAACAAAACAAAAAAAGGAACTCTGTGAAATAAATACGTTAACTTTGCGGTCGGCGAAAGCCGCTAGCAGAATCCGTACCTGTCAACTCTGGGATTCGTACCTGGGTAATCTCATTGGAGGTCTCGTTTTCGTTGTGAAGAAAACTCTTACGCTGTCTTTATCTTAAAAGTCTCATTGAAATTATTTTTTCGAGAAAAAACACTTTAAATTATTGTGACCCCCTCTTTAAAAATTGTCTGGAAACAAACTTACCAAAATATTATATCTAAAGAAACATAAGAACCAGCTAGAGTTTCATTTTGAAAATAATCTCGATTCCCAGTTTAATTTATGCGATGGTTAAAGCCATAAAATAATTGTTGAAAAGCGTGGGAAATAATTGTAAGATCATTTGAAAAAAGATTACTTATCGTACGGTAAGCAAAAGAGAATGACAAAATTTAGAATTTGAACTGGTTGGGGGTTTCAATTTGTTTATAATTAGAAAGAAAAAACTGTTAAGAAAAAAACCGTTTTGACATTGAATTAGCTTTAGACTGTCAAACAAACAGAAAAGGTCCATAAAAATTCTACAGGTGATTGTGAATTTAAAAAGAATTGGAAATATTTTCATAAAAAGTGCATAATTCACAATAACTAAGAAAATAATCACAAGAAACTGGCTTTTTCTACAAAGATTTGTCAAAAAAAAGACTGTTATCGGGTAAATACCTAATTTTGAAACATAATTGATTCTCTACAGTTTTCATCAATCTAGAAAACATGGGAAGATTAATTACAAACAAAAATAATTGCATTAAAAACTCACGGAAAATGAGGGAATAATTTCATAGCTTCAGCAATTTCACATTAATACATATACTTTTTAACAAAACAATTCATCCAATTATAGCATTCCATTTAATGATTCACATCAAAATGTTTAAGTGTTATGTGTTTATTTTAACTTTTAAATTGCATATTTTATTCGAAATAAAGTAGAAAATATGCCCTCTTCAGGTGTATTGTAACAAACTTAGAAAATGCAATTTAAAGAATAAGGAAGAGTTGCTCTTACAGGCTTAATGAGATTTCATTGAATGCACATTAAAATAATTATTTCAGTACCTGAGGGACAAAATAATTAATTTCGCATTTCTTACTCAGTTCTTTCAGGATTGAATTTAACCGTTCGGGAAATTAGAAATATTTCACTTAAAGCGTTACTGTATAGTCTCGGCAGATTTCAATTTTGAAAACTCAATTAGTTCCCAAAGTTTTCTGTTGCAAAATGAATAGTATCAGGCATTTACATTAAGATTGACATTATTAAAAGTGATAGTTTTAGAAATTTTTGACAATAGATTTCTCATTCTTCAGCTATTGTAGAACTTCCTCAGATAAACGAAATGACAATTTTAAAATATAAATGAAAATTTGATGCGCATTTAAGTATGTAGCATTAAAGTTATTTCCTACGGCAGCTTGATTTTATTTTTTTAACATATTAATTAGTATAATTGTTAAAGAGGTGAAATTGTTTTTACTTTAAAACTGTGCAATAAGGGTAAGACATCCATCCTTTCTTTCAATAATTAAAATTAAACATTTTTTTAAAAAAAATATGTCTCAGTTTTTCATGTAATTAAAAATATTATGATTCAATAATAACTTTTTTTCGCTTATTTTGAAAAAAATTACATAAATTTTAGGTTTGTTTTCAATCTGTTTTCAATAACACTTCTAAAATTATTATTACATATTTACCTTTTTTGACTTTCTGAAAATAATAAAAACACAATTTTAAAATGTTTTGCATTTTTTCTGAAATCCAACTAATGAAAAATTACCAAGGAAATATGTATTTTGAGTTCTATTAATTTAGTTTTACTATGTTTTGAGATGTATTGTTTTTAATTAGAAAAAAGCGTGTAAAATTGTTTAATGATAAAAAACTTTAAAATCTTTAGCATCACTTCAAATATCGTATTTTAATTGAAAAAATAATTTCCATTTGAAATAGTACTAATTTATGAACTAATTGCCATTAAGCAATTGAAAGTTATAAGTATCATACTTTAAGTGGAAGATTTGAAGCAAAATTGAATTTGATTTCTAGTTCCCCTTAGTAGTGATGTTCGTTAATTTTTTACTTAGTTTTCACTTTTAGTGTTTAAAAAAATCTTCTATATCACTTCAAGTCATAAATTAATGTAAATTGTTGAATATGGCATATAGTTTCTTTAAATAGACTTAATATTTCATATTTCTCATGATACACTATAATATTTATACAACTTTCTTATTTTTTTCTAACATTCACAGCAAAATGTTCGATCAGAAAATTGACAAAATAGGAAATCTTTTTTTCCCCATTTCTTTGATAGTTTGATCTCATGCCTATCGAACTCTTATGGGGTGCAAAATACACAGAAGTGAAAGAAATAGGCTTGCCATTTAGTCAACGACTTTTGTAAAAGATTTCAAAGGCGCTGCATTGCACTTTACAAAGCTATTTGAAAAATCTGTTAAAATGATTTGCAGGCCATTTACAAAGCTGGAATGTGGTTTCTCTCTTTTCAACTTGAAAAAGCTCTATCGAATAGCCCTTTTGAAATTGTTATGTCAACTCAACTTGCTTTTTATTTATGGAAATTAAACATGAAAGCTAGTATTTATGTTAAATTTTACAAATTTGGGTGTCCTCTCAAATAAGTATTTGTTTATCTTCATATAATCTAAAATTTATTTTTAGAAATACTTTAACAGCAAAAAAATATTAAAAAACATATGAAAAAGGAAGAAAAGCTCATTCTTTAAGAAATAAAATAATTCGTGGCTGACAAAAATGGTTCTTTCTAAAAGTAAATATTTTTATAGAATGAATTTTTTGTAAATTTATGCTTAGATGCTTCTATTTCTGGAACACAGTGATGGTAGAAAGGTGAATAAATAAGGAGGATAAAAAGAAAAAAAAAGAAATTATTGAAAAAAAGAAGACTTCAAAATTGATTGTCAAATATTTAGATAACAAGATTCTTTTTAAAATGCAGACCTTATTGGAAAACATATTAAAATAATCTAATTATCTGAGGTTAAAAGTCACTGCCAAAAGTTTTAGTAATTGCGTTTATGCAGAAAAAAGTTTAATAAAAACATAAATTTAAAAGTTTGGATAATGCAATGAAAATCAAAGACTTGATAAAACTTTCTGGGAAAGTAGCATCAACTTAAAAATGTATTGCTGTAATTTAATAAAAATATTGTTATTCAGCAAGAAAAGACAAGCGCATATCTAAGTAACTAAACAAGCCTACATTTTTTTGTAAAAAAGATAATATTTTTTTCATTCGATTTTCTTTCTGTGTTCAGCATCACTCTCTACTGGTTTTTCCATTATATATNTATTTAGATAACAAAACTTAAATTACATCAATATATATGTAAAGAGATCCGAAAATGAAGCAATATCAAGCAAAAATATGTTAGGCATCGCAACCGCTTATTGAATTCGGAGGCTTCATTAAATATTGAAAAACTTTTATATGCCCTGCAAGATCAACGAACCATTAAAGTTAAAACCAGGAGCCTTATATGTGCCTTGTAAATGTCTATAAATATGCTTTGAAAATAAATATTCTTAAAAAATAAGTTATATTTTTCTTAAAACATAGTAAATACTTTATTAAATGTATTTTTAATTAAATAAATTTTGAAAGAAAATGAAACTGCATGTTAATTGATGATGTTTAATTATTTTTCTCTCAGAAGCTACGATAAGACCTTTTTGAATTATGTATCAGAAAAAAAAGGAAACAACTGTATTTTATGTTCGACTTTTAAATTTAATTACTGTTACATTTTAAATTAATGCATATATAGGTCACCGTAGCTATAATTCTTACCTTACTATGAGTTTGCCAAGTATTCACTCATTTTAAAGCATGTAGCATTGATTTTATAAAGCATATAATATTTCATTCATTATGATAAGGTTGAGAAGTAAACATTTAAGTAAAGCAAAAATGCATATCATGATGTAAGAGTTCCCTCATCAAAATGAATGAGTTTCTTTTAACCACCATTAGACCTTGCGTTGCTTTTTCTTTCTCTCTTATAATTTTCTGATTCATAATTAGAACAAATCTAAGGATTTTTTTTGGTATTGTACTAAGTATCAAAGAAGATGTTTTGGTCCATACTGTGTTTCATCATTTAACCATGAACATGATTTTTGGCAATAAGGAATTTTAAAAAAAACGTACAAAAACATGCGTTGATATAAGAATAGCACAAGTGGATGCGGATCAATTCAAAATTATGCATATTTTTTTGTTTTGTACAGTGATAGTGGGCGGCAATGTGTATATTAATAGATCATTTTTATTTTTTATTTTTTTTTATTTTCAATTAAAAAAATTGAGTCATAAAATATTTATGTGCCAAATAAAGGTAAGCAAATATTTATGTATAAACCTATATTTAAATGAAGTAAATACAATTTTGAAGAAAACGTAGGTAGGTAAGCGATAAATCAATTTATTTTTATTGAGTTTCACTATGATTATTAAGCTATTATTTTATTTATTATTACTTTTCCATTACGATAATAAAAAAAAATATTAAACATTGACTGTCGAGGTCTTTTTTTAAAACATTTTACAAAACGATATATTATTTTATAATTTTGTACTTCTGTTTAAAAATTTTATCAGTAAATAAAATGCCTCTGCCTAGTATTTAATGAAACTAGTATATATTTTTATCAACCATAAATGTTTCAAAACAGTAGTAAATGCAATTTTAATGATAGCTAAATATTTTTCATGTTAAAGCTACTGTTAAAATATTTATTATACAAAAAAACATACAGGACTTCTTAAAATTAATTTTTCATCAAAAGATTTTGACTAGAAAATAAATTAAATTCAGTAATTTCGAATGAAAGTTTTTTTTTAATTATTATATATGTAATAGTTAAGCTACGAAATTTCGTAATCACACTTATATCAAAAACTAACAGTTCTATACGTTTTTTTAAATGTTTGTTAAATGTAAATGTTTATTTACTTTAATTTTCATCATTTATGCAAGTTTTTTATTTTTATTTACTTCTATGTATCGCAATAGGTTGAAGTTGCGTTTTTCTTGCATGATGGATTTGTATCGATATCCCATGGATTCACAAGTTTGCTCAATTGAGCTGATGTCATGTAAGTATTAAATATTTTTATTAAAATGCATAAAATTAGATAAAGAACATCAAGAGCTTAAAAAAACAATAAACTTAATATTTAAGTCCTTTTTCACTACCGAAATCTGAAATGTAGGTATATTTCCCTGGTTTGTTTTACACAAAATTTAAGCTTTTGACTTGAATTTTTTAAATTAAATAATAAGATATTTTTATTGCGATGTGATTACACATTTTGAATTAAATACGATTGTAAATTTAGTAAAAAGAATGCTGATATTACACGCAATATTTTATGCCATTTAATTGTAATTATCTTTTGACTTGCTTTAAGTTTTAAATGAAAACGGGTACAACGGGGAGTCGTAGTGTTGTGATTAAAAATATATTTTCCATATATTGAAATTTCAAAACTAAAATGTTAAAATTATTCCATATAAAATTAAAACATCTTTAAATAAAACTCCGATTGGTTTTTCTTAAGTGAATAATTTGCAACCTTAAGTAATCTTAAGTAATAATATGAAGAAAAAAAATCGTATGTAAAAAAAAATTGTCCACGGAAGTCGAATACCCGAAAAATTTCAACATTACAACGTCTTAGTGATGTTACATGATTATGAAAACTGATGATATTAATTTAATTTTCTTGGAAATTCTCTCAAAATACTACAATTTAATGAATTGTGTAAATAAAAGTTCAATTTTAAATATTATTTTTAAAAATATTCGCTGTTCTTGACTTTTATCTTTCCAAAAATACATGTTAAAATGAATTTGACATGCATTTTTACATTTTGTAACTCCCCCAAAGTAGCTCTAATCAAATCACACACGAGTAATTTCTTTCGATAAAGATTTTTTCTTTGAACTTCTTTTTATTTTTTAAGAAAATGATTAATGTTATTTAAGACTTTTTATAATGGCTTTTTCAAATCCAACGCTCACTCTTGGCATTTCAAAAAATAAAGCAAAATTGTCTGGAGATTAATTTAAATCCTTAAAAATTGGAATACATTATCTATTTAGATTTCATCTCAATGCTCTAATTATTCCAAAATACATGAAAACATCAAAAATGAAACAACGATAAAAAAATTCTACGAAGTTATTTACTAGATTATTTTACGACTACAACCCCATATTTCATTTTAAAAAACATTTCTTAATAAAAATAAATATCTTCAGTCTCGAAATTCTAACTTAATTTAAACGACGTCCATTCTAACGTAATTTATATTATGCAATTTATTGGCCTATATCATCAAACCAGAAGATTACATCTTTATATGTAGAAATTAATTAGATACAGAGTTATTTCAAATGCAATATTTACTCTTTGTGCACATACATTCAAAGAGATAATAATACATTAGGATTGTATTTATATGGTACGAATTTCAAGTTTTACTTGTTCAAAACTTTTTATGTAAGATGCACTATCTTAAGACACATTTATCAAAGACTTTTAATTGGTTTGGTTGGTTTATTTAGATAACAAAACTTAAATTACATCACTCTAATAATACTGCCGTCACCTTAGCTACTAATACCAAGTTTCTAAATCTATCCGTCTAGCAATTCCTTCTAATAACGTTTGTTGTGATTAAGCATTTCAGATTCAGAAACAGACGCCATTTTATGTCAGTTGGATTCTATAAGAAATTTCTGATTAAATTAGATCCACTACTTAATTGAAATCACTGAATCCACATAACGTTACTTCAAATAGCGTACATGATTTAGAATGAGTAGAGCCTAGAAATATTTGTTGATATTAATGCATAGAGCATAAGTAGCATACTTTTTATAATAAGTTAAAAGATATCAATATTGCAAAAGATAGACCTATTTTTTTGATTTAATAAAAATTTCCGTCTAATATATATATATATATATATATATATATTACTTTTTTAAAAATATTTTATTTATTGATAATTTTTCTTTTTCTCTTTAAAAAAATATAAAAAAATATTAGTTTCGTATAATAATTTGTATAACAATTACACAATTATTAGTTTCGTAATAAATATTATGGTGAAATTTAACAATAACTATTAATGATCGTTATTCAAGCATTAATTCACATATTTAGTTCAACATTCATATTTTTCGAGTGCGTTTTCCTTAATATAACGTTATTTGCTCTTATGTTTTTAGTTCCATGGTAGTTTATTTTTCTAGATAAATTAGTCCCACTAAATAAAAAAATGAAATGTTTGCTAATCTTTTAATCTTTTAAATTTACGCCCCTCCGTTTTTAAATTAAAAGTTAAATCGTTAATAAATCTGTTACTATTGAAAATCTGACAACGATATGAAGAAAATTACATTTCAATTTTTTCTTCATTTTTTTCTCCTATCATATTTTGATTTTTTAAAACAAATATAAGTCAGTGATTCACCTTAAAAAATCTACTTAAATTTTGCATGCAAATAAATACTTTAAATTAGAAGAACATCTGATTAATTCAGTCACCTACATTAATCATTAGTTATCCTAAAAGTATGTTTGTGAATACGTTAATCAAGTCACGAAGACAACTGTAATTCTTAAAGCAATCTCAACAGTTTATCTAATTTACAGAGAATCTCCTCTAAAAACTAAATTTCAAAAGAGAAAAATGAAAACTTGTTCAAATATTTGAAAAAAATCATCGAATTGGCGATAAATAGCCAAGTCTAGCAAGTGACACAGAAGCACAGGTGTGGTTGTGGTGGAAGATGCGGCGCCGGACACGTGATACCACGTGATTCTGTATCTCCGCCCGTCGGCTTCGCTGTTGGGCGGGACACCGAAAAGTTGTGTCCGCGGCTCGGCCCGCGAAAGCCCTCCCGAGCTGAGGAGGCGGTTTTTACGCCTGGCATCCTTTTTAAGGAGGGAAACTCTTGAGAACAGAAAACAAAACTAGAAAACGAAAAATTTGATCCCAGAGAGCTGGAATCAAAACACGATACGGATGCGCTCCGAGGAGAAAACAACACGCAGTTGTTCTGTCGGCTCTAATAAGTTGCTTTCGTTCGCGTTTGACTCTAAAGAAGATTTAGCTGTCATTTCCTTGTGTTTTTCGGCGTTAATTGGTTTAGATGTTATTTATTTGAACATGTCTTGGCTCTCCAAAAACAATTTTTGAAAGGATCGCGAAGTGTAGTGTTTGAGATTGCGAAAATTTTTGAGATTAAAGGATGTGTTTCGAAAGAGCCTTTTTGCGCAACTCGGGAACAAAAAATTTGTTGGACGAATGATTTTTTTTTTAAAGTCGTCTAATAAATTGTGATTCTCCTTAAATTAATTTCACTTAAACATGAAAGTAGTTTAAAGAATTAAAAAAGTATTTTTGTATATGTAGGATAAAGGGGGTGAAGCGAGGGTTTCTCAAAAATAAAGAAGCTGTGCTAAACTTAATAAAAATATATATTAACAATAATAGGCAAGTAAGCTACAATTTCCACTGGCATCCTCCTCGAGCCAGTCATTCTAACAATAATGGTGTACTTGTAAAAGAACAAAAGAATGTAGACGTATGTCTATTAATGTCCTTGGTTTCAATCACGTGATAGGATGAATGCTTCGTAGATTGGATCTGTATTCCACACGGCCGTCCTGCTCTTCACCGACCGCGGTGACCACCTTCTCACCAATAGACATGTTTGTTCCAAAGACATTTTCTGAAAATACACAAGAAAAAAAAGAACAGTACAAAAGCAAATATTTCAAAACAATTGGCTATAAGAAACAAAAAAAAATTATTAGTTTTTTTTTTTTTTTTTTTTTAGTCCATATGGTTCCTCAATTTCCCCAGATCTTCATATGGTCTGCAGCAGTAGAAGTCATATTAGGACCATCGTGAGTTCCAAGTTTTCTGACATTGTATCTATCGTTGTTGTTCACCTTAGTAACTTCATAAGGTCCGTAGAATTTTGGTCTCAACTTGAGTCCTGTACCGAACTGCGTTCGTTGAATGGCAACGACATCCCCTTTCTCATACTTGTGAGCTTTCTTCCGCTTTTTGTCATATGTTCGCTTGTTTTCCTC